TGATAGACGGAAGGCATGCTTCCAGTGTTTTGGACGTACGTACACTCCGTGGGCCAAACATCGACTCGGACCACTTTCTAGTTGCAGCCAAGATACGCGCTAGCCTCTGTGCAGCAAAAAAATATGCGCCCAAATATGCAAGGAAAGCTTAACCTCGAAAAGCTGCAATCATAACAAACAGCCAATGCATTCGCTACTCGACTCTCATACCTGCTCTCAGAGACCACTCTTCTTCAGAAACCGACATGTGCGAGCAGTGGAACCACATCTCCTCCTCATTGAGTACCGCCGCCGAAGAAGTAATCTGATCTCAGCGAGCCCGAAAGAAGAACTGTTACGATGAGGAGGCAGGAAGCCGNCGAGCAGTGGAACCACATCTCCTCCTCATTGAGTACCGCCGCCGAAGAAGTAATCTGATCTCAGCGAGCCCGAAAGAAGAACTGTTACGATGAGGAGGCAGGAAGCCGCAGAAAAAAAATATGCCACCTACAGGGTCACGCCTCGATCAGGCGCAACGCGAGCCATGTGGGACCGTTATAGGCAGAGATGCCTTACGAATGGTAGCAGCACTGAAGGCCGTGGAGAAGACGAACCCGAGCCCCCAGTCGATGATGATGGAGTCGACGTACCACTACCTGACTATGATGTGGTACGAATAGCAATGCGCGCTTCGAAAACAACAAATCTGCTGGAGCTTACAGCCTTACAGCTGAGCTTTTCAATTAGGTGGCTGGGAGTTGATAAGGTGCATGCATCAACTGTCATAGAGAATATGGTCAGATGAACGCATGTCCGAAGACTGGAATTCCCAATCCACAAGAAAGGCGACCCCGCCATTGTATTGTGTGACAGACTGAAGCCCGCCGTCAGTGTGGCTTTAGACCAGGCAAATCCACCATATACTAGGTATTCACAATTCGCCAAATCTTGGAAAGGACCCGCGATAAAAGTATCGGCACTCACCACCTATTTTCGACTTCAAAGGTTTTCGATAGCACAAAAAGGAGTTGCCTACACGCCGCTATGTCTGAATTTGGCATCCTCTCAAAACTCATACCGCTGTGTAAAATGACGTTGAGCAATACCACCAGCTCCGTCAGAATTGGGAAGACGTCTCCGAGCCGTTTGATACCAAACTTTGTTTTAGACAGCGCGACTCCCTTTCACGATACTTATTTAATCTGATGTTGGAGAAGATAATAAGAGCTGCAGAACTGAACCGCTCAGGAACAATTTTGTACAAGCGCGTGCAATTGCTGGCGTACACCGGTAACATTGACATCAGCGGTAACAAGAACCGCGAAGTCTGTTCTGCCCTTTTCAAGTTGGATAAGGAAGCAAAGCGAATGGGTCTGGCGGTCAACGAGGACAAGAACAAGTATCTCCTGTGATCCCATCCTGTCGTGTCATAAGTCCCATGTATGGAGCGATCGTATGGTGGCCTGCATTAAAAAACGAGGCCAACCTCAAGCTTCTCACCAATATGCAAAGGTCCAGTGTGATCTGCATAAGGAGAGGGCTCAGAACCACTCCAAACGATGCTCTGAACGCTTTTCCGCAGGACAGCAGATGGCACTCCACCTCATCGTATTGACATTTACAGATGGCTACAAACTCGACGGTAAGGTGGGCGGAGGAGTTTTCTCACGAAACCTTCCTCTGAAAATATCGTTTACGTGACTAGACTACTGCAGCGTATTCCAAGCTGAAGTTTCAGCTATCATGGAGGCTGCTGAGATTTTAGGAAGCGAAATGATGGCAATATGCATCCTAATTTTTAGTGATAGCCAGACTGCAATCGAAGCTCTGAGCTCTTTCACGTTTCACTCAAAGATTGCGCTGGACTTCCGCCTATGTCTACAGAAGATATCCCAGCAGAACAGATTTCTCTGATCATACGGACAAATAGAGAAACTGCATGGCAGATGAACTTGGAATTACCAGCTGCCAAGCAATATAATACCCCTCCAGTACTGCTGGAGTCAACGGCTACTTTTGAACCACTACTACACCGACTCCTAGATAAGTAGCTACTCTATTAACCCGTGGTGGTGCACATGGTAGTGCAGAGTCGAACGAGTCGGAAGCAGAATCGCGAAAAACTACGACAAGGGGCGCCCATATCTCACGCAACTGACTACTTTAGTATCTCCCGGTAGTGCAGAGAGAGCCGATGGTGACTACCGCCTAGGACATTGCCTTGTAAAATTAATCGCTGAAATACACTGCCAGTAGTCGGTCGGTAATTGACGGAGTTTATCAGGTAGCTACCGATTCATCAGTCCTGTAGTCGCTCCCCCGTACTGCAGGGACATTAAAGCAGTGGTGGGCATACCAACACAATCAAACGATTCAATAAGTGAGACTGTGTGCATTAAATGCACTGCTCAGCTACCGCTCTTCGTATACGTGTGAAACACACATGTGCTCAGAGAGCGTTCACTGAGCTATGGCCCGCCGACCACTGCATTAAAGGAACCGAATTAAATTACTCAATTAATTCGATTTCCTAAATTAAGCAAGGAAGCATTTGTGTATTTGCTCAATTAAATGGAGGGTCACTTTAAGCAATCAACGCGAACTTCCGCTAACTACACTGGTTTCTGAGTCTAGTAGTGCAATTTTCTGTTTCCCCGCTTATGACGATTTTCTTATACATACATATGTTTAGATAAGTTGCATAACACATTGGAGGAAAGTTGCCAATTACCTACTCCGACAGGTACATGTCAAAAAAGTAAATTCGGATGTTTTCTGTATACTAAGATTAATCGCTATACATCAAGGCGCATCAATAAATGGATCAATATATGGATGCGCCCTACTATACGTAATACAAAGTACGATACTGATAGCCATGACTAGTAGACCAGAACTAGAAAGCAGTCGTCATAAATAATAGGGAAAATAAATAATAATAGATTGGCGCGTACACATAATATATCGCAGCATGTCAAGGTTCCACTTGCCGATTTTTTTTTAAATATATATCTACATATATATGTAGTTCCTCAAGAATCCATAACAGAAGAAAGCAATCATTTAAGAAATGGCGAAAATGCAGAAATAACATAATACGTTCGTTGCAACACAAATAGCATTTATTTAAACTGCTCTTATTATACTTACAATGAATAAATAAATTCATTTCCTTAAAAATAAAACAATTTTAGTAAAGACAAAAAAAAAATACATTACTTATACAAGTTAGGGCTCAGGTTTAGCTTCTTGGCTATGCGAAAGAATGCATGTAAAGAGCACTGTCTTCGTTATAAATGAATAAGTTTGGATTTTTGTATTGAATTTTGAAAAGAAATAAAATGATTTTTTTCAGAATAAAATTTTCACTTAAGGTGCATTCATCGTTCTAGCTCGAACAAGACAAGATCGAAAATACTGATTATAACATATTTTCTATTGGAAGATTCTGGCCAAAAATTTTATTTAAAAAATATTCAGTGGTATTTTATATTTTATAAAAAAAATACTACTTTTACTTGTCTTTTAAGCTGAAATTAGTCAAGAACGTAAACCTACCGGTACGTAAACCCGAGTCAGCTGACACGATCTGTCTTACCAAAGCGCCATGTAAATGAAAACTCAACACCGCAGAATTTTTCTGTAGTTGTAGCCCGTAGCGCAGAAATCTGCGGAATTTAGATTTTTCCGTGTCAGCTGATTTCTCCTTCTTTAGATGGTTGCCACTTCGTCAGTTTTGCAGATGGTAAAAAAGTTATAAGTTCCTATTCGAAATATGTTTAAAATATTTGAAATTTACTATTAAATAAGGTTTTTGTTGAAAACTAAGTAGTTTATATTTAGTTACAATCTATTATAGCACGAAAAATTGTGGTTGAAAGGGTAAGTTTATGAAAAGGGATTGAAGAGTGGCAACAGTGTAGTAAGCAACACTGAGGGCTCCAGTAATCGACAAAATTCTGCGTATACAGACTGCGTTTAAGTATACGTTCTGCGTTCTCGACTAATTTCAGCTTTAACATGGCGCAATGAACACGTGAAGTGATAAAACAGATTTCTTGCTTCATTTTCTGACATTCGGCGTCCTTATAGTAAAATTTTCAAATAATTATTTCACCTGTTATACTTTCACCATGATCACCATGGTACATGGTAAATTGTATCATGCATGATCACTAAAAAAATATTCAGTTTTCACGCTGCTAAAAAGTAAATATATTTACACTCATTCCTCGAGCTTTTTTAGTTTTGCTTGCGCTATTTTTATCTTTAGTTCTCTAAGGACACTTTTCCTCTCTTCACTTTTTTCAATAACTTCCAGTTTTTGTTTCTTTAACAGATACTCTTTGTATTTTATGTTTTCAATTTGTTTCAGGGTTTGGAGAATTTCATTTTGTGTTTCTGCCTGCTTTTCAAGCAAAACCAGTTTTGCTTCTCCCATATCGGGGCTTTCTTGCTTGGGAGAGGGCGTTGCAACTTCAACAACTGGCGACTCAATATCTGAATTTACAGAGTTGCTTTCATGAGTACCATTAGCAACTTCGAAACCAAACACACTCTCGAAAGGATCGACATGAGTCAACTCATACACTCTTCTTACTTCTTGCGATGGCCCACCACCGGTTGCCAACTTTCTTTTTAACTTGGCCTTGTGGTGAATCCAAACCTATAAAAAAAAATATTATTTTGTGTTTTCATCTTTGTCAAAAGGTATGTTACTCGTAGCCATTCTGGCCCCGTTCTTGTGGGTGGCCCAAGGTTATTTAATTGAACAGCGAATTGCTCCCAAGTCTCCTTGACATCCTGGCGACTTGACCCATAGGGTCGCTTGCCTCTTGCAATATCGAGATTCTGTTCCATCAAAGCCACCAGGAGGTCAAATTGCTCTTTGTTTGTTATTTTTCTGAAATGAATTTCAATATAAATAGTTGCATACATATATTATATTTTATGTGTTTGCATTACATTATTGGTGACTCAACAACTGAATTTGTTGAGGTGTCTTCATAAGCGTCATTAGCAACATCTAAACTAAACGCACTCTCGAAAGGATTGACGCGAGTCAGCTCATGCACTCTTTCCTCTGTAGCTGTCAAATTTACTTGGGATGGTCCACCGCCGATTGACAACTTTCTTTTTAACTTGGCTTTGCAGTGAATCCAGACCTATAGAAACAATTATTTTATGTTTTCAGTTTTGTCAAAGAGCAAATTACCCGTTGCCATTCTGGTGCCGTTCTTGTGGGTGGCCCAAGGTTATTCAATTCAACAGCGAATTGCTCCCAAGTCTCCTTGACATCCTGGCGACTTGACCCGCAGGGTAGCTTGCCTCTTGCAATCTCACGATTCTGTTCCATCAAAGCCACCAGGCGATCCATTTGTCGTCTATTTGTTATTTTTCTGAAATGAATTTCAATATAAATCGTTATTGTATATTTTATGTGCTTGCTTGCAGACACTTACATTCTTTGCTCCATTTTATGCGCTTGCAGATAAAAAACAACTGAGGAACAAAAGTCATGAACAAAAAGTGTCTTTCGTTCATGAAGAAAAGTAGTTGAATTTTGACAGCTCACACAATAGCTTTGTTTCTATAGTTTTCTAGCGTATAATTATCAGGATCAGTGTTACCACTGAAACTTTTTCGAAAGTCGCAAAAAAACCAACACCGAAAAAAGTCTCTTAAGTAATACAAACTTTTTTTACAACGTATGTAAAGGTTTTCATTAGGGGTGTTCCCTTAAACTCATAAAAGCCTCGTAAACCTCGTAAAGCTCATAAATTTACGAGCCTCGTAAAAGAACTCTCAAAACTTGTATGAAGCTCAATTTACGAGCTCTTCGTAAAATTACGAGGCAAATTTCATGCGCAGACGACCTCGTAAACTTCAGTGTTGCCGAGTGGCCGAAATTTGTATACTAACATGTATGATAAATTAATAGGGGTCTTCTCCACGGTTGCCAATGTTGGATGTTTCCAACCAAACTCGGTTGTTTTTCTCTTATTTTATCTAATTTGGTTGGTTGNAGTGGCCGAAATTTGTATACTAACATGTATGATAAATTAATAGGGGTCTTATCCACGGTTGCCAATGTTGGATGTTTCCAACCAAACTCGGTTGTTTTTCTCTTATTTTATCTAATTTGGTTGGTTAGTAGTTTTCCTCTGGTTTGGTTGTTTTTTTTCAGTTAGAAATTAGCAATTTCTTTCTTTACAAAAAATAATATTCCTTACTGAATGTTAGAAATTTAAAAAAAAATTGTTCTCTTAAAATAAAAACCTATTGACGAGGGACATAATTAAAATATGCAAAATGCATATTTTGCATTTAGCGAAGCGCACATTAGCGCGATTCCATCGTTGCGAATACGTTGCGAATTCGGCTGTTAACTTCGAATCCGCAAACGTGCGCACACTTGAGCGATTTTTTCGCGTCGATTTCCGATGTACAATTCACTCAATTTTCCCTTTATTTCGTGTATTTTCGCACTCGGCGTGCCCAAATCGTACAAAATACTATTATTACGAACGTTTTTTATTAGTTTTTGAACATTACACGTTTTTTTCTTTGCCTTTATTGCTGTGACACCTTTCTTCTTCTTCTTTGACGCCTTCAAAACGCTGCAAGCCGCGTTCCGAACGCGTCAATAGAGAGGAACATTGAATGTTCGAAAAATTCGCAGCGAAGGAATCGTGCAAGTGTGCGCTAGCGCATTAAAATGTATGGGTAGCATTGTTGTAATTTTTGGGCTTGCGGATTCGCAACGACAGAATCGCGCCAATGTGCGCTTCGCTTTTATTATGAAAACAAAGTTGCAGCTAAAAAAGTACTTACATCAATATAACACAAAAGCAACATTAGTAGGTAGCAAGTTAAGTCTTTTAAGCTTGTATATATATTTTTCAAGGAAATAAAAGTAAAACTTAGTGAAATATTTATTGAGTTTTCTTGAGTGCTTTTACCCATTTGCGGACTTTTGTACAATATATTGCACAAATTTGAGGTAGCTCTAATAGCTACCCAAAACAACTTTTGAATATTTTTTCTTCACTTTTGGTATTATGAGGCTCTATGAACCTTGTAAGTAAGGGTACAAATTTTTATATTCATCAGGGACTGATTTGACCGGAAAGGGTTAATGCAAATGTTAAAATGTATACAAGCAATGCGTGCATAACGGTTAGCAAACGACAGTGTCGTATTTATCCATTCTGCATCTTTTACGATTTGCCGATACTAGCCTATAACGACAAGGGTGAAGACTTCCATTGAAATGCATGTGCTCGGCTCAAAATTTCAGGGCGAGGAAATTCTAAGTTTTCAGTAATTTCTACTTATCTGGCAACTATGGCAGCGCCACAACGAATGAAAACAACAAAACAACCAGTTGACGTTAATCAATTGTCAGATAAATAAATAAAAACAAACAAAACAAAATAAACGAGAATCATAGAATAAGGAATGATGGTAAAAGCAAGAGGATTGGGGCGTTTTGCTTACCAGCTCACACCACATAAAAAATGGAATATTCCAAAACAACTACGTAATTCAATCAGCACAAATTGTATGTAAGTATATACGCAAGAACAACTAGGAATGATGAAATTCATGCGTACTCGTTGTGAAAAAAAGCACAAAAGCTACTGACTACAAAATACATATGTACATACATCAATTTCATCGCCGCTAAGCACTTCGATGTCATCAAAATTATCCACCATCTCATAACCACGCTGTCCACCATCCGCTCCATCACTGCCTGCAATGGATCTACGCTGTACAGCAAATGTATCAATAACTTCATAGGCCTCAGCGGATGCCTCAATAGCGGCAAAATCGATGCCTCGACGCTGCATTTCTTCCTTCACCAACACGAATGTATGATCTATATAATTGGCACTGGTTAATGGCACTCGCGTACGTCGCAATATCTCACACACTACTCGCACCGATAATGCGTGCTTGTTGGATAACTCTTGTAGCCACACAGCGCGACAATTTCGGCGAAATTCAATTTGATTGCGTTTGGCACGTAGATACTGGAAACTTCGCTTTGCACTTAAACCAAAACGCACAAATGCATCCGCGAATTCACAGAGTTGTTCTAACGCACTACAGACGCAAAACGTCAATGCGGCCATACTAGAAGATACGCTTATTTACTGGCTTTTCACTCTTGCTCACTGTTCTTGCTCTGAAAATCTTCTCACACTCGTGCACGCCCTCAATTTTCTTTACATTCAATTTTGCTTTAGTTACGATTTATTCGTTGGTCTCAACATTTACATGTCGTTTATCAAAATCTGTTTTGATTTGGTGTCGCTGTGCGAAATTCTTGGCCCCCAAGCATCCACAATTGTAGTGGGGTTGCGTGATTTTAGTAATGATGTATGTATGTATACCTGTACGTATTTTCGCGTTATGTTCAGCTTGAACTTGTTTCAGTGACTAAAATAAACGTTGCCCCAGTTTACTTGCGCTGATATGACGCATAAAATTCAACGACCTTTCTGCCAGCGATGGTGTCAACCAATCATTAATTGCCAGTTGATGCATATCAGCAGTTAATTTGTTGATAACATAATTTTGGGTATTTATGTATGTACATATATATGCGCACGCATGTTGTGCTAAATCATCTAACCATATACGTAATACTAGGAGTGTTCGCTATGCAACCGCCAGTAAGAATTAGCCAGGAACAAAATTCAGAGAATAAGGTACCTTACTCTCCCAAAGAGAGAAACTTACTAAGTTTCGCGCGAACAGGAACATTTTTTAAATTATTTCAGGTGGAAAACAAAACATGACCTTTACGTATATTTCTTCTTATTCTTACTTTCTTCAACATACGGTTCAATTTCTTTGTGGAACTCACTATCAGATTTCCTATATCGACAGTGGTGTCGACTGCGTTCCGATTACAAATACAACTTTTTCAGCCGAGTACCTTTCAAATGTATGAAATTAATTAAAAATAATTGAATAAACAAATATTTACATACTTCTTTTATTAATAAATCACAACAAGATTGTTAATTTTTAACCGACTTCCAAAATATATATATTTTTTTATGTATGTTACCGCATAACTTTGGACCACGTCAACCGATTTCGATAATTCTTTTTGCATCGGAAAGGTAGAGGTGGTCCCATACTAATCTGGTTAAGATTTGGTAACAATTGGTACCAACTTGTACACATTTTTTTCATAGCGAACACTCCTTCTATATTGGCAGTAAGCTACAACTACATCTCCCAGTAAGAACCCTATCTGTTAACTAATGCGTTATATACGTCTAGCCCAGTAAGAACCCTATCTGTTAACTAATGCGTTATATACGCCTAGTACTACAAACAGTTTGTGTGAGAAATTCAAAAACTTTCCACCATTTTACATAGGGCTACTGGAGAAATCTAACGCATAAAGGTTTCGCGTGTGAGCAGTTTTCTCTTTCTATTACATGGAATTCGCTATATTATATTATCCTATGTATAGTTGTCTCTTTTCAATCAAACATTATTATGCGATTAATAACGTGTTATATAACGCAGAGAATGGCATATGGATATGGCTAAGATGCAAATGTTTTGGTTTTTATTGTCAAATTTGTAAGTATATTGGAGAATGCTACCACTCTTCGCCGAAAGTACGGTATTGACAACATATGTTGCTGTGTCAAAAGTCAGGACGTTAGCATAAGCGGTTCCAGAGATAAGCGATATGAAAATTTCAGGTTATATGGGCAGTTCCACGCCCCCCTTTCCAAAATCTAATAGGGTCGCCAGCTATTTTCCATCGTGTATTTATTAAATTTTTTGTTTAGAAAATTAAGATACAATATTACTATTTATGGGTTCTAAAAGAAAGCTCTTAAACAATTATTTGTTTATATAGTATTTCGATTTCAAATTAAAAGTATTTTTGACAATTTAAATCCAGAAATAATTTTCATGAGGGCTACTTACCACGTTATTTTGTAACACCAACTTTTATCTTATTAATTTCATCGGAAATATATGTATGGCTATGTATGCACACTAGGGTGGTCCAAAAATGCATGTGAAAAAGTAAAGTCGGATTTTTTACGCTCTCACCCTAGGGATGTCAGTGAAAAAAAACATCGATGTTATTCCTCGCATCGATGCATCGAAACTTACATCGATATTTGTCGATGCATCGGAGGGCGTACATCGATGCATCGATACGCATAGAATTTTCCTCCACTTTGGAATTAAAACATTAAGAACCTTTTTCGGTATGTACTAGTTTTATAGCTCATAAAATTTTAGTATAACAAAGCGCAAGTCAGCAAAAAAAAAAAATATTAAAAATTAAAGCAATTGAAACTTGCACTTTATTACACTAATATTTTATGAGCTACAAAACTGCATCTTCCTCTCTATGAACTTCAGACAAAGCGATGTTCGGCCATTCGATGTACTTGAGATGTCAGTTTACAGAAAACAGCGATGCATCTACGCCTCGATTATTTATACATCGAGTGGAAAATTTTCGATGCATCGAAGCGAAACATCGATATTTTCGATGCATCGATGTTTTTTCGGCATCCCTATCTCACCCCCTGGGATTGTTCTATACCGAATAAAAATATATCCTTATTTCTTTATTTTGAAACCAAAAAATATCTAGAGCTCGCTCAAAGCGCCCAAACTTTTCCATGTATTTTATATGGGGAAAAAACGTTTCGTAGAAATGGTAAAGAATTCATAAGAATCAATATTTTGTATCTGCAGGAGATTGCCAATAATAATATCCGACTGTTTATTTAACCATTTTTTCCTCGCAAATATAATTTATAGGTCCGCCAAAAACCCACAAAAACCCCGAAAAATGCAATGGGCGGACCATTAAAAACAGTTAGCACTAAAAATGGTTAAATAAATAATTGCGTATTATTATTAAAAGTCTCCTGAAGAGAACCAGAGTTTTTCGATCGAAAGATATTGACTTTCCATAATTCTATACCATTTCTACGAAAAGTTGGTTTTTCCCCATATAAAAATACATGAAAAAACTTTGACCACTTTGAGCGACCTCTAAATATTTTTTGATTTCAAAATAAAAAAATAGGGGTATATTTTGTCGGTATTAAACAATCCTAGGGGATGAGAGCATAAAAGTTCCGACTTTACTTTCTCACATGCATTTTTAGACCATCCTAATGTACATACATACATATATTGTTTTTGTTCATCTGAAAGAATTTTAAAAATTTTAAGTATAAAAAGCGCAGATCCAATAGTTTTCGTGTAAAATCCTGTAGAAATGGCAAACAGCAAAATTACTCTCTGAAGTGGGAGTAAAAAGTGATTAACAACAAAAAGTACGGGAACAAAAAAAGCATTTTTGCTGTAAAAACGTCAACCAGTGATCACTTGACACTTTTGATGATTTTACCAGAAGAAAAAGTTCGGGTAAATTCTTGCAACTTCATTCTCTACACAACTCTCCAATCGCTCTCATTTACAGGATTTTGGAGGAATTTGGAGTACGGGATCATTTTGCCGGTAACTTCCTGAAAGTTCGTGTAAAAACCTGTAAGTTCATGGAGTACTGAATAACCTTGCATATTCCTCAAAATTTGCGTTCGTGCAGAAATTTGCAAGTTTCTCTTCTTGAGAGAGAATTTTTTCTTACTCTCTGATATTTTTTTAGTGATGGATAATTCATGCTGGATTTTCGTCGAACAAACCTTATGTTATGTTCCCTTATTGGGAATTAGGTTTCGAATTTTAGATGTCGTTCATAATATGGACTTGAATACCGTTACATTACTTAGTCGATGTCTGGGAAAGGGGACGGGTACCGAGTTGCTCAAACTCGGGCAATACGTTTTGTGCTCTCATTCGTCTGAGTACTTAAGTCAATTTGGCGGTTCACAGCTGACAACAACAATTGTGGACAAAAGAGTTGCTGTGTGTAAATACAAAGGGCAACACCAAAAGTGAAATCGCCGATAATAAGCAACTCGAGTTTCCGTGTTTGAACGCAGACTTATTTTGCAATCAAAGTTGAGATACCTAAACTCAGAAACTCAAAACTATAAATAATTTTGAATTTTTCGGGGAATCAAATTAATCAAGTTAACTCAGTATAATTAAAAAGTAATGAAATAAAATTTAGAATAGACTAAAATGAATAAAATTAATTTAAATACAAATAATGTAAACTAAAATAAATAAACTGAAATAAATTAAAAAAGCAAAAAAATTTGTTTTTTTTTAAAGGGTATGCATTGCTTTTCAAACACTGCTCATCAGTTTTCTGCTGTCAACATGAATTAAATTTTATAAAATAAACAAGTATTTTAGTCAGCTTCCACTTACCTTGCTTCCTATATCTTCATCATCATCATCGTACTTATTGCTCGATTTGCAAATACCTTTTTTATAGCAGGGCATTTTTGTTAACGGTGATTTATGTTATTTCCAAATAAATATGAACGATTTTCTTACTACCACTTCAATCGGATTTATTTATAATCTTAACTTTTAAATTTCTTGTTGCGTTAGAACACTTATTTTATTCTTCTTTTTGGCAAATCGTAAACTCGTCACTTTTGGTATCTCTGCAAAGAAAAAAAGGCAACAAAAAAAAAAAACATTGACTAATATTTACACACTGCGCGGCAAGTGATCATTTCTTAATTTTTTCGCACTTTATTGTTTGAAAAATGATTGCTGATTGATGCGCTGGGGAGGGTAACGTAACAGTTTTTTTTTTTAAATTTTTTTTTGCTGTATCCACACGCTAATAAATTAACACTCTAGAGTCTAGATAATGCAAAATTTGAAATCTACAAAGTGTTATTTTCTCCATACGTATGTATGCGCATCGATGTATAAATACACTTATATGCAAGTGTATTTCTTACAACTGTAACTTTATGCTACCGATCCACTTTTAACGTGTTTTCGCGACGATCGAAGCTCTCAGACTGTTTTGAAAGGTACATTGTGGTAGAAATAACTAATGAAAAATTTCGTATACATCTGCAATTTGATACATAATATATGTACACACATATGTACATACATGCCTTGATGTGTAGATATGCTGCTGGTATGCTTATTGTATATGGCGCATATGTTTGGTAAATTAGCCTTCTATTGCGGTTTGTTGGTCATACATTCATAAAAGAAAATCTTTTGCGGCTGTGTTTTAAATTTTGGTTTTCCTCTCTCGTGTACTTTTTGGCTGTTTTTATTTAAATTTTTGGCTAATTTCGCCTTCTCACGCAGCCTTTTTCCTTGGCACTACTTAATCTACACAAGAAAATAAGTCTGGCCATACAAACATATGTATGTATGCATAATTTTGTTTGTTGCGTGACGTGCGTGGGTGGGTGGGTGCCATTGCTGTTTGTAGATTTGTAATAAGCATTCATGAAATGCTTCGAAGAACTGATAAATTAGTACTGATAAGGTTAGTGTGTAAATTAGTGAAAGTAGGCACTTCTACCATATTTATTAGCACTTACATTTTTCTGTTCTAATAACACTGGTTTACAAATTTTAATTTGGTTTTTGTTCTCCAGACGCCACTCTCCAATTTTCAATGTAGAATTGCTCGGTGATTCCGAAAATCGAGTTAATTTTTTTTCTATGGATACGTTTTCGAGATATTTGCTATTTACCGTTATTCAGCTTAAAGCAAAAATTTGTTCCTTTTAATCACGTATATCTTACGAACCAATTAAAAAATCTTAATATAAAATACGGCAAATGAAAGCCAATGAAATAGGGCTTATAGTATTCGACAAATTCATTAATCATTCCAGGTTTTTTTATTTTTTAATGAAAAAATGAGACTTTAGCAGCAGAAAAATTTAAAAAATTACAGGTTCTGTGCCAAATTTTTGTATTTGTACTAAAGCCTGTTCTGTTACTATATATATTATATATTATATATTTTTAAATTGGTTTTTAAGATATACGCGATTAAAAGGAACCAATTTTTACTTTAAGCTGAATAACGGTAAATTGCAAAGATCTGGAAAACGTATCCATAGAAAAAAATTAACTCGATTTTTGGAATCACCTAGCAATTCTACATAGGAATTGGATTGCGGCATCCATAGAACATTTTCGCTGTAAACCAGTGTTATATATTTTTTTGCGTCTACTATAATTGATTTTAATTTTTACACTATTATTTGTTAGGCGCGAAATAAAAGGCACTTTAATGTACATTCAGCAATTCATTTAATTACGGCGTAAACTACTTTTACAAGTAAATTAAAGAATACGTACATATGTAACAGATGGTTAGGATGGTGCGTATGTATGTATACTTCAGTAAATATAATTTCAAAAAGTTGAAGAATATGTATGCACGTATGTATAATAGTTAAACAAAAAAAAAAACAAGGACAAACTAAATATGAATGCTCCATGTTGAAACTAACAAAAGAAAAAAATTATGTACTTCAACGTTTTTTTTTTTTTTACAACTTCAATCACATTAAAATTTATAAAGAACTACAGAAACTTAAAATATTTCCATAAAACTAAATCATTGCACTTTTTATGCGACGTTTAATTTAATTCATTTTTCAATTCAGTAAAATATTCGCTGCATATTTAAATTTTACAAATCACTACATTTCTAAAATTTTCATTTTAGATAACCATACATTTATAATTAATTTTAACGAACCATAAATTTTTATAATTAATTCTCAATTACATATGCATGTATTTATGTATGTGCAAAAGAAGCGTCCAGAAGACAATAGACAAGAACAAAAGATCGTTATTTATAACGTAAAATATGTACATACATTTTAATAATTATGCACACATGTATGTAAATATATATATTTAGCACGTTGCTTCAATTTGGCTTAAAATAAGAATAATGCATTACGGCTAATAAGGAATATCGCTGACCGGTTGACGCTAGCTGTTGTTTGTGTTGCACCTCAAAACTGGTTGGTAAGCTTAGTTTAGTTTCTGGGAAAAAAATAAAATAAAAAATAATGCATGTAGTAATAAGTATGCTTGGCGCAAGAAACAAACTAAATTAAAAACATTAAAGACAAACAAAGGAAAATTTACAGAAGGGAAAACATTTTACAACGCCAATAAAGAAGAAGAAGAAGAAGGGTTGTAAGATGACGAAGATTTGCGAAGCAAAAATTCACATTTTACAATTTTTATTGGCACACTCGAAATTTATTTTAAAATTGTTATATACAGGACATGAAGAAATTAATATATGTATGCGTGAAATTGACAAATATTCCACGCAAATAATTACTTACTGTGTATGGTGCTACTGGGCGTATACGTTACACACACAATTACGGGTATATCGAGCACGAACAACTTGTGCCTTACCTTTACCTTTTACCTTTTTTTAGTATATATTTTTTCAGATTTTATTTAAAAGCAATTTCGCAATGGAATCTTGCTCTTTATGCAAAACTAAGCGCAATACATGGTGTAAGATAAGCGTGCCACCATTTTGTATCAAATACGCGTGCAACCGTAAACACCAGCTGGCAGTATGTTCATCTCTTTAGGAGAGTAAGATACTTTTTTCTCTGAATTTGGTTGCTTGTTAATTCTTATTGGCTTTTTCAAACGAACACAACTATTATTTTAATAAATTGCAGATGGATGACTTTGATCAGCTGTTTTTCTTGCTGGCGAATTTCTGCTAATAAAAAATTTCCAGCAAGAGGTAGTAATTTCCAGTCAAAATTAACTGTCACTTTGCGCTCTCAATTTCCCCGAACTTGCAAGTTTTTATGCCAATCTTAATAAGAAGAGGTCCATTCAATAACTTTTCCAGTGAGTACTTGCAGCGAGAGCGTAAAAGAAAACTAGAGAGCAAAATTGAGAGCAAGAGTAAATTTTCAGAAAAAGTTTTTGAACGAAAAACTAGTAAAAACTTGCAACTTAAGCCATTTTAACACTTTCTGACGGTGAAGTTTTGACGCGCAATTTTCTTTTTAATTGAGCATAGTTCCCATCGTGATAAAAACAAAAAAAAAAAAAAATATACAATAGATTAAAATTTTTCATCCATATTTTAATTTCACTTATTATGTTTCATCAAATCATCTTCTTAAACAGTTTGTTTACATTTGAATATGACACATAACCTTACTTTTTAACTCCTGCAAATTTCTGCTAGTAAAATTTTTACTTGTGGTCGCCATCCTTTGGGACCCCCTGGTTCCGTTCCCACGACAGTCGGGTCTACGTAACCGGAACGACCCAGATTTATATCTGGCCAAGGACTGTCACTCCAGCAACACTCCCCAAAAACCCTTGGGGAACTTGTATGCTGCTACAGCAACAACAACAACTCCCTGGTTCCTGGGTTCGTCTCTGAAAATGACTGATGAACGTCGACCACTCAGATAATTCGTCAACCACCGTTTTAGTGCCTGTGGAAGAGAGGAAGCCTCAATGCCTTCTAGTAGTGAAGGAATGAGAAAGATCGCCGAGGTAGCTGTTTACCTGCGAACACAGGTCATTAATTCCATTGCCGAACATAAGTATCGAGCAATCGTCAGCGTAGGAGATCAGGGAAACTCCCCCTAAACCTTACTCAACTAATACCCCTCCCCTCCCCTTGGACTAACATAGTCGGAGTTGTACACTGTTAGTTGAGCTTAACGCCAACGATTGAGCCACAAACCGATCTAGACTGGACTGAATAGCCTCCACAATAACAAAAAAAAATTATCTTGGTGAGATATTCTCTTCAGTCACGACCATTGCTTAAGAAGGTTTACCTGTTGTACAGCATTCCGATCAGTCAACGGCGATCGCCAAACTAAACTTTCGCTACGACATTGCGCTTCATCCGGTAGGATAGGCACATTACGATTGACCAAAACTTACTACCCCATGACCTGATCATTCCCACGACAGTCGGGTCTACGTAACCGAATCAACCCAGACTATAGACAACGGTTGTCACTTCAGCGACATTGGGCACGTTCAGATGGCACGAACCTACCCATTGTCTAAATTGTCTGGCGAATTTTACGCTTTTACAAAAACAGCAACAAAGAGGTGAAGTTGCAAGTCTTCAGATACTTCTCCTCCTTTTTGGCTGGTGTTGGTTTACCAGTCGCCTAATCTCCAAATTGAGATCCCTACTGCGTGGCTCCCTGATACAGCCGCTTCGACCGTAAAGTTTGAGTGGATTTCTGCTACGACTTTTTCTTGGTCATTAACATTGATCTTCCGTAAATACCCTTCTGTAGTTATCAAACGATTGGGTTTCTTCGTCAATGGTTAGTAAGGATAATCTAATGGCGATTAGCCAACTTATAATTTTACAGATCTTAACCAAAAAATAATTTATTACTGTCAGGATGCTCCTCGCTTTCTAGTACATATTTTGCAGAATCGAAGCTAAAAACATTCGAATCGCTTGAATTACGTTTAAAGTTTCCGGTTTGACGCTCACCTAAATCTGCTGCGTGTTGCCATTGTTGAGCGGCTCGTTGTTCCTGGTGATTTATCTGGCCCCTTGTAGTATCTCGACATCGTTTTGCTGACGCGCGATGGACGTGCGCTGGTACTAACAACAAAAATACCCATTAATTTTTTATACTAATCTGTAACGCCGCAAAAAATATGAAAATAATTATCCAACTTACAGTGTATTTGTGGCACTCTCGCTGCGTTGCCATGACGCAGGCGTACTCGTACGCGAACCGACTTCCTGCTTTTCGTCGGAGTGCTTTTCAGTTCTGGGCTTCAGAGGCTTATTATCTTCATCATCATCATCGTCATCCGATTCGTCTAGCTGTATATTTCGTCCGCGTTTGTGCATTGGCGTAACGGCTTTTTGCTCTTTCGTGTCAGATTTCTGAGAGCGCTGCAGTGTTGCTAAGGATGCCGCGTTCAAATAGGTCTTAACTTTTTCCTTTGGTTTATTCGAAGCACTGCAGACGAAAGGGTGGCATGAATTTAAATAAGAGTTATACCATTTATTTGTTTTATTGTACTTACGTTGTCTCCTTTTCTTTATCATTTTCATTGCCTTTATCGTTATCGGCACTTTTTCCATCAGCCGAATCTTGATTGTCTTCATCGGCGACTAGGTCGACAATTTCGTCAGCCACTAGTAGTGTTACTGTTGGCCTACGATTGCGTGTGGTGGGCACTATTTTCCGTCTTATACCCGGGATTCTAGTTGATGCTGCTGCGGTCAGCCGCTTATCGGCTTCTTCGATTTTCTTATCCTCCTTAGCCTTGCTCTGTAACACCAACGTAATTCTGTTGATCTCCTCTTCCACATCTAACTGTCCAGCCGGCATATTGCCCCTGTGTCTGCTGCGTGGTTGTTCAACAACTTCCCTTACAATATTTACATTCCGCTCTACGTTTTCCTCATCAATAGTCGCCGGTGCTGCCTTTTTGTTACGCTGCTGCTGCTGTTCTTGCGCTTTTTGTAACGACTTTTTCAATGCACTGCGTATTTGCTGCACCGAGCCGCGTCCACCTGCTGCGCCTGCAGGCACCACAGCGATATCTTTCGTCTCCGCTGCAATCGTCTGCAAACAAATTGCCTCGAGCAGTTGCTGACCGAGTGCCAGCTTGCTCGTGGATTGCCTTTTGGTGGAGCTACTGCTGCTGCGTGTGGTTGACTTTTCTGCTGCAACAGTGCTGACAGCGGTCACATTCGAGGCGGAAGTGCTTGCAACCAACGAAGATACACTGGTTGCCGCCGAGGCCGTAACTATCAGTGCGGTTTCGGTTGCTTTCGTCATGATAGCTGTGGCTGCTGCTTCGCTGACGCTCACATTTGTGGTGTTCGAGGGAGCCTGTGTGCCACTCGAAATGATATTCGACGGATATTGGGTTGCAATTGTGTTAAGACTATCCAGCGATTGAGTTTTGGAGATTTTCTTTTGCGGCGGCGCAGTTGCTGCTGACAATGATGGCATTAGATTGGTGACGCTCGTGGATACTTTGGTCCTAGTAGCGTTGGTAATTACACTCTCAGCAGGCTTAGTGTATGCTGGTGGCACGGGCTGTGTATTTATGGCAAGATTAGTGCGCGCTGGAGACGCTTGTATAACCGTTTTACGGCGTTTGATTATTGGGCGTGTGATCATTGTCTTGGATACCGGCTGTGGCACTGGAAAAGTGTTGACAGGGCCACTTTGCGAGATGGCCGAGGAACTACCAGTGTTGTTATCGAGATTATTTTGTAAATTTGTTGTTGTGTTCTCCAAACAATCATCTGGCTCCATCAGTATAATGTCATCCGTATCGAAAAGGAAGTCAGAACCACTGGCAGGTACTGTAATAATCGAGTTGCTACGCTGACGACGCGCCTGGGCCGGTGGCTGTGGCTGCGGTTGTTGCTGTTGCTGTTGCAAACGCGAAAGCGCGACGCGCTGGCGTTCTAGCAATGCAAGAAGTGCTTCATTCGAGCTGGATGCACTGAGTCCGCTTAACAAGCTCAGTTGTGTGAACAGAGCGGATGGATCTAAGTCGACGGGGATGTCAGGTGCAGACTTAGGGCTTAAGTACTGTGAATTAAGTGTAGAGTTTAGCGCTGCGTATTCGTCACTGTTGAATGTCGACGCGCTGCGCCCCCTCGGTGCCATCTTGCGCACTTTCCTGGGAGGCGCCCGCTTCGCGCTCGCTTTTCCGGCGTCTCGCTTTAGAGACTGAGTTGAAGTGCTCTTCTTAGCCGCGGCAGCATCCGCTTCTTCTGCTTCTGCCTCTGGGCTTGCTGGCACCAACTGTACTGAAGTCTCTGCCGGCAGCTTGTACGGCAGTGATGTTGTTATGCCCGCCATCTGCAACTCAGTTTCTTTGGTGACTGCTGCCGCCGCCGCGGCAGCTGCTATCTGCTGCTGTTGTTGCAACATTTGGGCAGCCTGTAGTACGGGACCCAAGTAGGGTCCCATTATTTGTGTGAGGTCAGCATCCTGCAGCAGATTTGGATCAGCCATGATGTGTGCGAAACGTGAATTACGCAGCCGTTCTAGTTGTGCTTCCATATTATTTCTTTTTACTGGCCATTTTAGTGCTTTCAAAATGAGTTTGAGCAGATCGCCATCTTTAATGACTTTGCCGAGCAAAATATCATCGGGAATATTCGTCCTGAACGGTTGCGACAAATCGGTTGGCTCGGTTTGTGGTTGCTGCTCAGATTCCGGCTCGTTTGGTGGCGTAGGCTGAGGTGCTGTTGGTGCGGTGGGTGCTACTTGTGTTAGATGTTTTTGCTGCTTTGTTGCCGCAATAATCATCTTTTCCGGCAGCGGCTCAGCTGGCACATCATCTTCCACCAGCACTGTTGGTGGTTCAACTACTTTCGGTGGCTGGCTGCTCTTCGTGGGAGCCGCCGCCACCGCCGCTTTTTGGGAGACCTTCAGCAGAGAAACCTGTCCAGCATTCGATGTTTTGCTATTGTTCAGTGCCGTTTTAAGATTTTTGCGCTTTTGTTGCAAAGTATTTGTGGGCGGTGCAGATGCAGGTGCAGGTGCAGGCTGGTCGGATGTTGCGGCCTTGCTTGTTGGCGCGCTGCTCGGTGTGCAGCCAATTACATAACCGCCGCTAGTGACGGTCGTCACCTGCTGTGGCCGATTTGGGAAAAAGTTGATGACGCCTGATGTTGTTTGCTTCTTTGTTGGTGTTATGCTTTCTGGCTGCTTTGGCGTGCTAGTAAAACCACGTTGCGCAATTGATTTCGGTGTGTAGCGAGAGTCCAGTGAGTTTTGGCGACGCGATGCGGTTATCATTTTGTGCTGTGTCTCACGCGTTAGCGGATCGTTGACGGAAACGTTTAGGATAACGTCATCTTTATGGGAACATTTAGAGGGTGGTGGCTGTGACGTTGGTGTTATTAACTCAACGCTTTTAACAATCGGCTTATCCTTTTCTTTTGGTTTTGGCTTTGCCTGTACTGGTACCACCGGAGCTGTTGTCGTTGTTGTTGTAGGGGTCGGTGTAGGAGCTGTAAAGATGGCTGGCGGTGCTTTAAAGGTGGATGCAGGAGCTGTAAAGATGGATGCGGGAGATGAAAATATGGGTGCTGGAGCTGAATGGGCGGTTGCAGGAGCTGTAAAGTTGGATACAGGAGCTGTAAAGGTGTTTGCAGGAGCCGTAAGGGTGCGTGTAGGTGCAGTAGTTGTGACTTCGGGGCTGGTGCTGCTCTCGCTGCTCTCCGCCTGCAGATATGACTGTGAAAGTGAAAAAAAGCGCCATATTAGCGTCAGTTTTATGACAAATTGGGTAACAAATAAACCTTGGTATTGAAGATGAAGTCTCGGAAAACCTTTTGCGTGTGTTTGGCGATTTTTGACAGCGACGCAGTAGCTTCCACTTGGCGGTAACAAGCTTTGCACAGCACCTTCGGCAGTATGTCATCTTCGGAAATCTGAAAATAGAAGCCAGGGTCCTTTTTATAAAACTGTACATAAGTATATCGTTAATGAAAAATTGCATTTGTCATAGATCTTAGGTTATGGTGGTGCCCCTGCTTTTACTGAATATTGCTGATCTAGAGAGCACAACTCGATAAAACCTGTGATTCCGAGTGTCATCCGTACCGTGCTTATGGGATGAATGGCACTACGTCAGTGTGTCTTATGACGGTGGCCTCCAGATACCTGGCGTCTTTTGGTTGTAAAAAGTCCTGCTTGGGATTCTGGGGGCTATGTCCCAGCTGGGATCCCTTCCCCCATATCCCCCATACTCGTGGGATACACATGGAATGTAAAAACAATGAAAACCAAAAGCCATAAGGAGCTGCACAGCTCCAAACAAAGGCCAAAGCTGGCCCTTCGACTTCTGTCGAATCAGAAACCATCGCTACAGAACTACCGGGGGCGCACAGTCCCTCGTATGATGTAGAGATGGTGGACACTAGCGTGAGACAGGATGCAAGTCTCGTCAGAACTCTATCTGACATCTCCCCGGAGGATGAGCAGAAGTTGCTTGCCTCTCCGGTGAAAAACTCATCGTACCCAGCTCGAGAGCGAGAGGGGCTTAGCGGAGCCGGTCGGAAACGCCTCCAGAGATACATAGAAAAGAGAATGAGCTATGAGCAGGCTAGAGAAAAGCCAAGGAACCCCATGGTCCATCACAGAGACAAAAATTCTCAAAAAAACAAAAGACCTAGATCTAATACCTCCACTCCGCAAGGGTGATCCCCGAAGAAATTGGCAAAACCAGGTGAGGGATCTTCAAGAGGCAGGCCTGCTGGTACTGGCGCATTCTAAGTCGAGTACGCAGGTAAACAATGGCGGAAATCACCATTGCAGTTCACCCGCTATCAGCAGACAGGCTAAAGCACCGTGGGAACGTAGAGAACTATGGCTTTGGCGTAGCCAAGCTTAGGGTGAAAGCCAAACCGTCAATGCCCGTGGTAGATGATGATGCCGCAGACACCGATAAACCTAACGGGGAGGAGCAACCTCGCTGCTACAAAGACGTCGCCGTAGCTCCCAGGCAGCTACCCACTGACACGCAAGTGCAGCAGAAGTCAGCGGAGGTTGACACTGGTATTAACCTAACAGAGCTACACGAAAGAAGTCCAAAAGAACGTCGGGCCCATCGCATTCCCAAAGCCTGCGAAACGGCCACCACTACGTGGCAGCTCCAAAGCGGCTATTTACAGCCGCAAAGGCAAGGGAGATGCAAGGACGGTCGAAGAACCGGTCTTTCTGAAGGGCAATAGAGGGAAGAAGGTGGCTGCTCGCGGCCGAAAAGGCCGCAAGTAATAGCACCTAACCCCAAAACCTTCCAAAAATCGAGAAACACAGCACAAATGCTTAGGTGTATCCTTCATCCAGGAACCCTGGATATTAAGAGTTGACGTCAAAGGCTTTAGTACAAAAGACGGTAAGATTATATATACCTCCAGCTGTCTCCCAAAAGCGGCGATGCTATTAAGTAACAAACTAACGTTTATCCCTCTTTTACAGTTCATTACGGCGGATCTCGTTGCGGTAAGGGCCAAAATTCCGACTCCTAGAGGGGGTGCAAGAGGCAGTACTTGCCTCCACGTACTTCCTGTGCGAGGAGGAGAAAGCCACGACACTTGAAGTAAAGGCGCTAATTGATCACTGCCGACAGAGTGGTATCCCATGGATCCTCTGCTGTGATGCAAATGCCCATAGCACTGTTTGGGGGAGCACCGACACCAACAAAAGGGGTGAGTACCTCCTTGAGTTTATAAGTAGTCATAATATAAGTATTATAAACCGTGGCAACGAACCAACGTTTAGGAACGATATTAGAGGGGAAGTCTTAGATCATACTCTAAGTAGTCAGAACATGGCAGCGTCTCTCACAAACTGGCGCACCCAGGGGAGGTATCAATGTCGGACAATATGCACATAGAGCTCGACATTGGTCACTTTCCTGAGCATGAACGAGTTTTTAGAAATCTCAGGAAAACGAACTGGGAACTCTTTCTTTCTTTTATAATTGAAGAAGATGGAAACAGCCATGGTGGTCAAATTACGACTGCACACGAGCTTGATACTGAGGCTGAACAGCTCCATTCAGACATTGGACGTGATGTGCCTTGGGTGAGCACAGTGTTGCCGTTTCGGTCTAATTGGACCACAATTGGTAGTTTCATTTCTTAAAGACTTTGGTCGGTTGGTTGGTTTGTAGTGATTTTCGAGGGGGTTTGGTATGGAAAATCACATAATTTATTCATTTTATAAAACTTTAAGTATCTCTGTTTTCGGGCGAACATGTAAAGGGTGATGTGAAAAGGAAAAGAGAAATGGGACATGTCAAAATTATTCTTGAACCGAAGTGGAATGTTGCACTGATTAGACAGTTTGTACTGATTGTACAGTTTGTTGAAGTTAGAAGAAAATAATTAGACAACTGTTATGCAAATGGCAAATTTTACATTTCGCTTTTTACATTTGTATTTTCTTTCACTCTTCTCCCTTAAGAAAATAATAGTTGACAGCTTTTCATATGTGTAGCAAAAGTAAAAACATGTAATTTTCAAAGCTTGACATTGAGTGCGCGCTTTTTTCTTCCTTTAACCCAATAAGAGCTGCGCATGAAGACAAATTATGGACAAGTAAATTTTATTTGATTTTTTATAATAAAGTGTTGTACCTACTTACATACATACGTCACAATATTTAAATCACATTTTCAATGAAAGTCACATTTTGGCAGGCTGAGAGCCATTATGTACCAATTGTGGTAGGGAAAAATTTTTTTTTTGAGTGGCAACACTGGTGGAGCAAGAAGCTTGAGCAAATGAGATGCCAGGCCAGAAAACTATTCAATAGAGCACGTCAGTCAAGTTAGCACTACACTTTTCGAAATTGGGAAAGTTAACTATGGCATTAACTTTAGCTTTTTTGTTGTAAATTTGTTGTGGAAAGAAAAAATTTGTAGCTTTCGTTTTTTAGGAAAAAATGGTATGTAGTGCTAACTTGACACCATACACCTAGTCGATAGAATTGAAATATTGAAAATGTTATAACGGCATTAATTGTAGCTTTTTTGTCGTTAATTTCTTCTTTCATAATTAAAATAAAGGTGCAAGATTTGATTCTCTTAGGTGAAGAATTTCATTGCCTTATTAATGCATTTATTAACACAAAAATGAAAAAAAAAACATTAAAAATTGCTAAGGCGCTAAAACTCAAAAACTTAACTAACTTCAATCATTTCGCAAAAATTACTCTCGGAATTTTGATGTTAGGAGTAGACCTCACATAAAAACGAATGCTAGAGTGTTGCATATCTTAAGGCGCACGACTGCATACTATAATCTTTGGAAATACATACATACATATCTAGGTGAACCTTTAAAAATTTCACATGTCAATGTTTAGAATCTTAGTACATTTTATAATTGCATACATTTATGTACAAATATACTTATATAGTATGTGGGCGCTGCATTTTCATATTTATATAATTTAATTCGCCTTGCACACATTATTTTATGCCGAAACTATTTATTAAAATCATTTTTTACTCTCCAAAACATTATTCTGAGAATCGTTATTTATTTAAGTGGTGAGAATAAATGCAGATTTCTATACAATTTATGCTCGCACGCGTCTTAAATATATACATACTCGTATACATATCTACGTATGCATTTATTTATGTATGTAAGTATGTTATCTAAATACATTTTCTAAAGATTCACACACGCACACTGCTACGTATGTACATATACGCTCTCTTCAAACTCACTCGTAGCCTAACTGCGAACATTTTATATGTTTGTATGTATGTATTTACAAAGATTTGACATTGACATTGTAAAAGTGCAACGTTGTTATAGTGCATGCCAATTTTCTGTGCCAGCGCTAAAAACAGATAACACAAGGAAAACAAAATAAAAAAGCTGGCAACATTTGAGCGCAGCTAACCTGTTTCCATTGACAATGTATCGATCTAGGAGCTAAGCAAGTTTCGCATATGTCTGCATACTTATGGACATTAATATGTACATACATACATAAGTAGTATGTGTACAAAAGATTTGCAATTGGATTTTTTTAGCGAGTTGAAATGATGGTTAAAAAAAAGAGAAATAAAATTAAATTTAATAAAAGTATAAGAAGTCGCATTTACTAATTTAATTTATAAAATAATTTGAATTTAGCTTTCTAAACAGGTGGCAACTCTCTTCAAACATCTCAAAAATTATCTAGACGTTCAAACTAAAAAATTCTCAACGCTGTTTCGTTTGACACATACATCTACATATTTTAATATCTCACATTCATAAATCTTTTATAAGTCTGAAAATATTTTCAAGGTAAAACCTTCCTAAACATCTTTCGTTTAATACCCATATTTCAATTATTTAATTCCCCTATTTCAAGCTGAATTTTACTCTTTTTAAATAGCTGGTAACTCTACTAAGTACATGTAGTTTATAAAATAAAACCTTTTCAAAACAATTTCGATCGGCCCATATTGGCGTAATTAATCTAAAATTATTAAAGAATTTCAATTTCAATTTCAATTTTTTTAACAGGTGGCAACTCTTAAAAAAACCCTATCTTCACATATATAGGCCAATCCTTTTAATTTATACCTAAATGTACAAAAACAAAGATTTTCAACTTCAAACTGCAGTTACATTAATGAAAATATGAAAGTTATAAAAAAAAAACAATTTGCATTTTTGAATTCAGCATCCTCAAATTTACTAAGAAGCAAATTTTCATTTAAATCCGCCCACAATTATATTTTAGCCCACATTTTATATGGTAGGGAAGCACCGTGCAGCGGCGTCGCTTTCTATTGGTAACAGGACACCATCAGTATAGATGTCCTAAGACTGGTTTGGGAAAGGTCCAAATAATGGGTAAGAGAAAATAGAGAATATGCTACTTTTTACATACATATGTACATATGTACATAATCCAT